AAAAATACTGGAAATACATATGAAGAATTAGAATTGATTTAGGGGTCATAGAATCAAGGACCATAGCCATGGTCAAACTCCAAATCCTATTTTTTGAATTATATACTTGTATGGGGAATCTATACAGAGCTTTAAAAAGTGTCTTCACGGTGTGTATGCAAACTTAGAGGCCACGCAAACCTCTGAGGAGAGGGCAGAAGCCACCCTCGGTTTGGGGAATGGGACAGGTACTTGAAGCATTTACTGGCAAGCAATGTTTTCTTCAAAGTGATCTTCAAAACCCGGGCTAGAATCCTACACATGGTAGCTGTGCGTGCGCTAATGCGGCAAAGCCACCTGAAAACAACTGCTTGTTTCTTTTGATCCAAATGATTGAATTTTAAAAGGCTATAAACAATGTGGAAGGCGACCAGCAGAGTCTTCAGTGTTTTAATTGTCTTAGGTATCAGTATCTCCAGCTTTGGATGAATTTAATAGCATCCTTGTGGTTCTCATCAGTAGGGCTCTGTCTAACACTGCACATGAGGAGGCAGAAGGGCCTGGATTTAAGAGCCTTTCCAAGGCTCCTGGAAATATCTGAGGTTTGAAATCAATAACAGCCAAAACAAACCACTATCAAAACAAAACTCCCAAACTATTGGCTCCGAAATAGGAAAAGAATTTTAAGTATGATCAGAAATATTGTCTAACTATCCACAGTGCTTAATAATGCTGTGTCAGCTAGCCCATGGCAGTTCAACACAAGGCATGGGGTTATTTTTACATAAATAACATGATACTAAGATAATGCTGTTGGTGTTTTCTTGGGCTTGATATAATTGAGAGAGGAAGGCTCTGAAGTCAGAATGTCTGGGGTGCTTTAGGATTTTTAAATAGGTTAGATAGCAAATCAAACTTTAGTTTTACAAAGTTTTTATATCCTTTTTCTGCTGTTTCGTGGATGTCATTTTTCTGTCATTGTGCTGCTGGGCAAGAGGTCCAAAACTGGCCCCATGACTGATGGCACTTTCCCTGTACAATTGTCACTGGTAAATTTCACCCTAAAAATTTTTAGTTTTTAAAAACAGGGCTTGCTCCCTTCCCCCACCAATTTCCCTTGCAGAGCCCAGGTGATGGCTAGGGGCCAGCAGTATAATACCCTCCCCTTAGCCACCTTCCCAAACGAGGAGCATCTATTTTGTTCTTCTTAGTAAAGTGCGGAGGAACCTTTCTGTGGACATGGCCAGCTTTCCTTCCAGCATCCCACAACTGTTGAAAGAATGCTCCCTGTCCCTAGAGTCACAGAGCCAAAGGAGGTGAACACCAGCTCTTTCCTTGAAGCTATGCAGTGGTACCAGGAATCATGAACACTAATCATCCAGAATCTATGACATAACTCTCTGGCTTTAGAATTAGATGCTTATCTAAGTAGACTAAGGGACAGAACCTGGCTGTCTTTGAAATAGAGTCCCCAGGGGTGTCCTGAGAAAAAACATCTCCTGGCCTGCCCTCTTTCCTGAGAGCGGAAGGCCTCATTCTGACTAGAGCACTGCCCAGGCATCTCCAGGGGTGAAAAATCTATGCCCCACTGCTTCTGGGCAATAAGCTTTCACCCCCATCAAGCTTGAGGAGGAATTATTAGTCAGGACTGGGGAAAAGGTGATGCCTATGTTTTTCTGTTTGAGTTCTTTATAGAATGCTTGAAAGTTACCCACAGCCCTGTTCAAAGAAAAAGAAGTGGGGGAGAAAAAGCCCCACACAAAACAAAGCAAAAAAGTGGAGTGGGAGAGCTGCAGCAAAACAGCCTTTAAGCAATAAAGGAATTTATGTCATTTTTGAAGATTAGATTTTAAAAAATGAGTCAATGGCAGTTGGCAAGTCTAGTTGTCAAGTAACAAAATCACTCTAAAGAACGTACAGGAAAACACTGAAAAGAACGGCACTGCTAATGCCCTGGGAGGACGAGGGTCCGGGGAGACTGAAGGGCCACGGGGGTCTGGAAAACTTTCCTTCCTTGAGACTTACCGCTCCTATCCAAAATCAATTCTGTGACATTTTCAGACAGAGAAAACATTTGGGAGTAACAAGGGGCGGGGGAGCCATTCGAGGTTTTCCTCCTTGTTTAGATGCTAACATACGGTTGATCTTCGTTTTCCCCTGGAATATTAAAAATGGTAGAATTTCCTCAGAGCTAATGACTGCTGGTCTCTGTGCAACTGAGAAGTGACCCTGGAGAGAAATCTGGCACTTCTGCCTGGATTAGAGGTCGAAGTCAGACTTGCATGGATACACCTCACAGAGCCTGGGTGGGGACTTGGAGGTGCACTTGGAGGTTACCCATGAAGAAAGCGGACGGGATCTCTGTCCCCCAGGTCCATCTCATTCGTCTGAACTGCTCTGCTTTACAAGCTTGCAGAACGCTAATGCTCTGCATAGTCAGTTCTGGAACTGGAACAAGCTAATCCCTTTGGCACCATAGAGAGTCTGATAATTATTCCTTTCTGTTTCTTCCCAGGAGTGCTTTTCCTGCACAAGTGTGGGTGTCGGCCTTTTAATAAAAGGTAGCCCAGTTTAATAAAAGGAAAAGTTCAGCATCAACCAATCCCTCGCCCTCATCTCCCCATCTCTTGCTTCCTACTATGGGAAAGGCACCACAGCCATTTGTGATTTTCAGGGAGGTAAAATTTCATACCCACATCTTGGGAAGAAGGTAGCTAGCTCAGCTGGAAGTAACCCCGGGAAGTCATAGAGGATCACGGTGCTTAGGAGCCCAGGCTGCGAAGACAGCCATTTCTCCATTTAGCTGGTTTAGCCCCTAATGGCTCAGGTTTTATGCCATCATGTTTCCAAACTATCCCCCCAAATGATTTCAAACAAAAGTTGACAGTTTGGAAAACAGTAGTAGCTCATATGCAAATACGTGGTACGTGCCAGGCATTAAGGCATTTTTCAAATTTTGCTATTTTGCTTTCGCCTATCTCCCTCTTCAGCCATCATCTTTCAATAATTTTCCAATATTCCTTTGACTGAGAACCAAACAAAACAAAAAAAATTAAAAAAAACCTAAGAGACTCTACTTATTTAATTCTTCAGAATATTTTGCAAAGGCCAAAGCAAGTACCAATAAACCACCACCATTTGGTGAATGTGCAGTTTCCCAAGGGAGCCAGCAGTAGTCTCAGGATGTCCCTGCTAAACCAGTTCATTCTCAGCTACAATCTCTCCGCACCTGGCAGTGGTTCTGTAGGATTCATCAGGCTCGATTCTGTGTCCCCAGGACTAGTTACGGCATTAGAGCTTTAGAGAACCCAGCATAGTGATGAATAGCTGTGCCTGTATAAAGGATGGGAATCTGGGGGTGGGGGTAGATACCAAGGAAGGCAATTGAAAGCTGCTTTGGGAAGCTCTAACCAGCTCAGCCTGGGCCCTGGAAGGATGGGCTGTACATGAAAGGTGCGAATCTGTGGCTTGACACCTCTCTTGCTGTGTGTGGCCCACTCCCTGAGGATCTACCTGTGGCTGTGTGTGTTCTGGGTTACTCTGGCACAGGGTGGATGCCTGTATGAATTAAGTTTTCATTGTAGAAAAGGTGGGGTGATAGTGGTGATAACGTTTGGGAGGAGGAGACAGTTTCACAAGGACAGGGACAGCCTGCCTCATACACTGCTGTCACCCAGCACAGTGCTCGGCATGGTACCAGTAGGTGCTTAATAAAACAAAGGAAGAAGAGGAGGAAGCCCGCCTGCTGGAGCACCTCATGAGCTGGGCAGTGGAGACTGGAATGGTTCGTCCAGGGGTGGTGCTGGCAGCCAGGATTTGGCTGTCTAACTTCAGATTTGTAGAGCGTTACAGCCTGTTGGGGTCCTAGGGGTCTCAATGTCAACCTGGTGAAAGGCCAGAGCTTGGTGGTAAGTGAAAAACTCCTCTGAGTTCCCCAGGGAAGTCCCCTTCCCTGGCTCTACAGCCTGACAGGCTTGTGGTGAGTCATCCTGCTGGTGACTCACCCCAATTGCATTCGGATCTCTCTCTTCTTCCTGGTCAGGTTTCCACATCTCAGACAGAGGCGGTTTCCAATGGGCTGTGCGTTTACTGAGACCCCGAGGAGACAGACAACGATTTGTATCTGGAGACACCTGGAAGGTCGAGCTGGCTTGTGTGGGGAGTGTTCCAGAAGCTGTTACATACATTATAAAGAAAAGCCTCTGGTGCCTTTCAGTCCCAGGCTGGGACAGTGGCACACAGCACGGACTTGGCTAAGTTTTCAATTCAGCCAACTGTGTATTTTCCGAAATAAAAAATAAAACAAAGCTACAGCATTATGTGGGGTCAGTCAATATGAACATTTCTCTGATGGTCGAAGACAAGCAATAAATAACTGAGTTGACAGGTTTCCCAGGACTGTGCTTTGTTGTGAGGCCCAGTAAAAAAATAATTCATCATGGGTATAATCCCAGAAAGGATTAAAAGGGAGGCTCTATAACGAGGGAGGAGCCGCGTAGGGGACCTGACACTTTTCCTTCCCTAGGTACACAGTGGGGTCACTCAATACTTTCTTTCATCAGAGAACTGTGATTTAAACTTGACAGAAATTTTTTCCCAGTTCAAGTTCAAGTCAGACCACACAAGAAAACTGCATGTGTTGCCCTTACTGTCTACCCACCATGGTCTTTGATTAAAAGGCGGCTACCTCCTCCTTCTGTCTGGAAGAGCTCTTCTACAAAAGGAGAGAATATGTACATTAGCCAAATAGAAGCCTCCTGGGTTTGGGTGTATGTGCATATGGTAAATTGTGCCTGGGTACAAGGAGCCAGGAGCTCAGATATTACAATCACCGGGCCGCCTTTGGCATCCTTTGGTGCTGCAGTTACTCTAGTTGTTCAGTAAAGTGTCAAAAGGTGACGTCTAACAGTATTGTGGCCATATTTACATGAACCTAACCACAAACAACTAGGAATATGCTAGTAGTGAAGTTTGTCTTAGACAGTCTGAGCCAGAAAAAAAAAACAAACCAAGATATATAAAAGGAAAAAATACTTGGTTTCCTCACATGTGCTGTACGTGCTAATTCATCTCGGCATAGTGTTCTCATGTAAAGTGCTTAAGAGTTGGACAGAATACCTTTCGACATCATCACTAACATAATCGAGACAAGTTTACATTCCTACCAGGGCATAATATTGTGAACACTTCCACTGAGACTGCAGAACTGCTGTAATTTTTTTCTAAAACATCATGCCATCTGCACACATAATAAAAGAATCCAGTAGTCGCCATGCTGAACAGGACTTCTAGTGAAGGGCACAGACAGCTCCCCAAAGGGAGCTTGTGTTATGCACAGTGATGACAACTGGAAGCAATTTTCCAGCTAATGGTCTGCCAATGACCACTTGGAACAAGTTGGCACTGTATATTATGCACCTCATTTTAAAATCCACAGCAAACTAAGATTTTTCCAAAGCCCATAATCTTGACTGAATGGGTGTTTTTTCAGTTAATCCGGTTAATCTGTCAATGCTCCAAGGATATCTTCTGGCAGTGCCATGAGTTAGTCTTTCTGTGAGGAACGGGCCATGTTCGTATCAACTGGCAGGACAGCAGCTTGGAAGGTTAACCGTGTTTATGGAGAACCCTCGGCTGAGGCTGCAAGAAGAAAAAGGGGGAAATACGGTGAGTCCTTTCGTGCTTCCAGACACCGATAGGTAGCAATTACCTTATTCAAACAAACCCTAACACCCTTAGGTCAAAGTGAAAGCTCTAGCCTGCATAATGGTCCTAACTCCAGGAAGGATTTATGGCACTTTGTGGCACGGAATGACTTTTTTACCATCTGGTAAGGTGTGGGAGGTACAGGCAAAGCTGCCTGAAGGGAGGGCAAAACCAGAAACCTGCAGGTGGCATTCAGTCCTATGGCGGGCCGTGGTATGGGAAACCATTTCAGATATTAGGAGGGTTTTTGCATTTACTTGATCTTATGGAAGATCAGACTGGGGGTGGCATGAGGCATCTTTTTTTCGGTCTGGGGAGGAGTGCGTTTCATTCATTAGGAAGATTTCTTGGGATATAACCTAGCAGGAAATTTTGGGAACATTATGGCTGGAGTTCCTGAGTTTACTCTTTGAAAAGTCAAATTGGCTGAGGTTAGGGACTTGAAAGTTAAAATCTTTTGTTTTTAATTTCAGATTAACATGAGGGCACAAACAATTAGGTTACAATGTTTGTGTTTGTTAGGTAAAGTTCCTGTTGTAGTTGTGTCCTGCACCGAGGAGGTGCCATATGCCCTTACATTGTGCCGACTGGGTGGGAGCACATAAGTCCCTCTCCCTTCACCCCCTACAGCCTTCCTGCAACTTGAATTAAGTTTTTCTCTTGTGTGAGTATGTATTAGTTTGTCTACTGGCTTCATATTAGTATTGAGTATATTAGATACTTGCTTTTCCGTTCTTGTGATGTTTTACTAAGAAGAATGTATTTCAATTCCATCTTGGTTAATATAAAAGATATAAACTCTTTTTATTTCTTCATCTTTTTTATTACTGAATAGTATTCCATGATATATATATCAGTGGTATATATATACCACTGTTTATTAAACCATTCTTGGGCTGATGAGTACTTAGGTTGTTTCCACATCCTGGTGATTGTAAGTTGAAATCAACATCTAGTGCAGGTGTCCTTATGATAAAATGATTTTTTTTTTCTTCTGGGTAAATGCCTAGTAATGGGATTGTAGGATCAAATAGAAGGTCTATTTCAAGTTCTTTGAGGAGTCACCACACTTCTTTTCAAAAAGGCTGTATTAGCTAAAAGTCATTGGAATCTGACTAGAAGTTGAATTACTTGAATTGCAACCTTGCTTTCGGCCTTGGGAATGCTTTTACAGATACAGTTTTCTGATTTTTCTAATTTAAATTTTGATTGTCCGGTTATTTTCTCTGGATACTCTCCACAGTTTCTTATATATGGGTCCTTAAGAATTAATTATATGAATTTAATTGAGTATTTTCCTCAGAAAAATATCAGTATTAGTTTTATTTAATACCAAAACTATTGGCCAAGAAAAGGGAAGCCCAGCAGCGGTTCTTGATGTATAAGAAAAACAAAATCTATCTAGGTTTTCAAATCTAACTAGTTTTTTTTTTTTTTTGAGACCAAGTCTTACTTTGTCACCCTCTGTAGAGTGCTGTGGTGTCACAGCTCACAGCACCGTCCAACTCTTGGGCTCAAGTGATTCTCTTGCTTCAGCCTCCCAAGTAACTGAGACTATAGGTGCATACTATGATGCCTGGCTATTTTTAGAGATGGGGGTCTCACTCTTGCTCAGGCTAGTCTCGAATCTATGAGTTCAGGGAAATCCACCAGCTTGGCCTCCCTGAGTGCTGGGATTACAGGCATGAGCCACCGTGCCTGCGCTTCAAATCTAATTAGTTTTTAAACACATGAATGAATACACAATTTATAAGGAAATATTTCATTAGAACTTGTTCCTTTTGAGAAAATGCGAAAACAAAAGGTAATCTATAAGTGTATTAAATATCAAATAATAACATGCACTTCAGATAAGGCTGTAATAAAAGTGGCATATAATATATTGCTGATGGCATTGTAAGCTGGAAAAATAATATCAATTTACTTAAAATATTAATAACACATATGTCCTGACACAGTGATCTCATGCCTAAGAGTGTAGCCTAAAGAAATTAATCTTAAAAAATCAAAGATGCTATGTGCACAAATATGTAACCTGGAGGTTATTTATAATAGAGGAAAAATTGGTAACAAGCAGTCTCCTCTTGTTGAAAATTTAGGTTAAGTAAATTATGGCACATTAGCAAGACAGATGATTACATGGCCATTAAAAGAATACTAATTATGATGATTATGTAGCAACATGGAAAACATGATATGCTGCAATATAAAACTTCCACATATGCATGGAAAAGAACCGTAAGTGAAAATGAAAGCACTACGAGTTGTATTATTGTCATTGTAACACTTTGGAAAACAACAGCAACCATTAGGCTCACAGGGGTGCAGATCTGACCATGAGCATGGACCCACTAAAGCATCATGGCTGTTTTCACTCACTAATATTAATGGTGCCTTGAAAACAACTCCTTTGCAGTTTCATTAAGAGAAAACACTACAGTATTATTAAATGAGGCATAGAAACCAGTGTGGGTGATCATCTGTCCAGGTCAACCCACAAGGGAACAGCACAGCCTAGAAAAACAAACAGGAAAATATTGATTTCTAGGAATCTGACAGTATACTGCCCTTGAGACTTTTGCTAAAATCAGACCTTGGAAAAGAATACCTATAAAATAAAATTAAATTAAAAAGGGAATAATCATAAAAAAAAGTGAGCACTAATTAATTACTATATTTTGGATGCTGAGTCATGAGTTGGTAACTAGGTTTATCACAGTTGTTTTTTTAAATAATTGTATTTTCTACATGGGTTGCTAGAAGCTCATGGAAAGCAGCTGTGTTAATCTTAGCCTTTAATAGCACTTATAACCTTGGACATAAGCTGAGCCCATTATCCTTTAAAGCTCTTTTATCCATGGTTGCCCCATAATCTTAGGATAGGGAGAATTGTTCCCATTTTGTGGATGAGGAAATTGAGGCCCAGATGTGATTTAGCCCAAGGTCACATAGCTAGTAGGGATCACAGTTGTATTCAGACTTGTGTGTCCCACTCTGGTGACATATATGAGCGACGAGGATGAATATATGAAGTGTATGGATTCTAGGCCTTTCCCATCCCATCTTCTGAGCAGGATTCTGTGTTTATCCTTAAGCTCAGCTAGCACAGTGAAGGGTCCTGCTGGGCAGGAACGAAAATCAGAGTCTGAATTAATTTATATTAGAGTAGCTAGATACTCCTATAAGACATGAATACAAAGAGAAGTAGAGGCCACAGAGAGACAAATCGGGGGTCTAGGCAGTGACGCGGGAACTTTGGGTTGGTGGCGGTGGCCGTAACAAGTAGGACGTTTTTGGAGTTAGTGCTGTGTTTCTTTTGGGAATGGGTCACCAAGTTGAGAAGGGTTTTATGTGGGAACAAGAGAACCCCATTTACTCAGGATGTATGTGCAAGGCCTGTGGCTAACGTCAAGATTGAGCCTTTGTCTTTCTCTTGTATTTGTATAATAATGGGCTGTGCTGGCATCACTTTGCTAGAGACTTTTGTTACCTGCAATAAAAATCATGTTTTCACATACAGAAAAGCTACACGAAATGCAAAGTGGCAGTGTGAAAATGGCGGTGAGCTCCAGTCTGTGCTCTTTATGAGGGACACTTCTGGGCTCCATCCCGTGCTTCAGCCATCTCGGCCTCCTTCCAGCTGCTCGTACGCTGGGTTGGTCCTGGCCTTACTCCTAGAATGCTTTCTTTATATACTCTCTGCCACTAGTGAACACTCCCCCAGCACCTCCAGTGTCAGCTCCTTTAGGAAGTTTTCTCTCCCCATACATGCGGCTAACAACTTCCCACAATGAGCACTTCATTTTAATGTATCCATTGCTCTTCTAAATTTTTTGAGGGTGGTGCTATGTCTTATTGTTCTGTGTCTTTCTAGTGTAATGGGCAATATCAGGTATACAGAAAGTGCCTAATAAATAAATAGTTGTGAGACTAGTGAAGAAAGAAATGATGTTGGAGATGAGTCTTTTTGTGGGGGGAGGTTTTAATAGAGTTACTAATTTTTCATGAGACGCAATCCCACTGCTCAGGTTTTCCTATGAAGAGGGGGGAATTGTTCTGGCTTTTTTCACTGCAGCCATCAAGATGGACATCCTGGCTGGAGCTTTCCATGTGTGGATTTTGCAGCTAACGAATAGAAAAGGGCTCTTCTTCAAACCTGGGATGTGCCAACATCAGTAGCTGAGTTGTTCTTGGTCTCAGAATCTGGGTTGTAGAGTCCTCTGGATAAGAGCATGGGGTCTGGCAAATACGTTTCATATCTCCTGAACTCCCCAGCTCACCACTTACCAGCTATGTATGCAAACCCAAAGTATTCAAACACCAATGTCTTCATCTTTAAAATGATAATCATAATCTCTACCTCACTGGGTTGCTGTGATGTTAAAATTGGATCACAGGAAAAAGGACCTTGCGTGGTATTTAGTCAATAGTAAATAACTGATGATAATAGAACAATGGTAGCTATCAATTATTGTCACCATCACTAATTCCCCAAATTCCTCCGAGAAATCAAGATATAAACACGCCAATGTTCTAATACTACAACCGAGAGCCAGACAAAGAAACAAAATGCCCAGAGGTCAAGCCTTTGCACCCCGGTAGGACACAAACCAGCCTCCGCCCACCTGCTGAGGCTGCAGTCAGCACCGCTGGCTTCCACTCTGTCCCAGATTAGCGTAGTCATTAACAGACAGCTCCATGATAAGGAGAGTATCAAACACTTCAAAGGCAGGAAGTTACAGCCAGGGAGGTGATGGCCAGCTGGCAGAAGGTTCAAGAATAGATCTGAGACTGAGTATGTCCAGCTCTGTCTTTCCTCACCCCAGCAGCTAGGGGCCGAAGGGTATGATATGTTTGGGGAAAGAAAAAAGACATGGTATCCAGGCAGTCCCACATCTCCTGGGCTGAGGGGGAAAATGCAACTTCACTCTTCG